GAGGCTGTATAGAATAACCTATATGTTATAATGTAGCAGAAATTGTTTTGGCGCGCTCCTTGAATACGACGTGCATTTTCCTCTCTAACAGGAAATATCCACTTTTGTGAATAATTCGTTTGGGAAACCTGATCTTCCTATCCGGCGAATTTTATTCAACCATTTCTTCTTCACCGAGCCTGTGTTTGGTACTTCCCACTGTCTCGAACTACTGCCTAAGCTTCAGGTGCTACTTCTGTAGCAACACCCCCTTCACTATTTCAAATATACAGGACTTGTTGGTCTGTTACGTGATTGTTGTGAAGCCGAATAACCCGAAATTTACAGGTAAAGTCAAAAGCTTTTACTTATATACTTTATCTTTCTGTTCTGTGCTTTCTACTGTCTTTTGCAGTCAGTCTATTGGACAAAACTCCACTGGCTCTTATCATTTAATCATCGGTATTATTTTAGGAGTAAAATGACTATAGATTCTCACCCCAAGATAAGTAATGGGAGACCATACACTGTAGTCACCAGAGCTTCAGCCAAATTAGGCAAACAGGTGAAGGTGATTGAATCTCGCATACCGGTCTTGAAGACCAGGGTAGATATTCCCTGCGTGAACAGATTGTCCATGTCGCCGCAGTCCTACAGTGAAACTGTGAAAAGTCAACCAAGCGGATGTGGCTCCATCCCTGTTAACACGACTAAGTTAATAGAGGCGAGTGGTAAATCTGAACAAAGTGGGAATAGTATAACACCCATATCCACAGTTGGCCTTGAAACAAACAGGAAGGCCAATAAGAAACGTTCACGACGTTCACGTAAAAGTGGCCACAGCACTGCGACACATAATAATACCCAGTCGCACCAGACGAAGCAAAACGGTCTTAAGGGGGATGACAAATGTGCGAGGACTGAACCTAAACCCACGGTTAGTAGATCAAACCGCGTTATCCTCTTTAATGTACCAGGCTGTAGCAGTAGTCTGCTGGAAAATAGGGCCCTGTTTGATCAGGAACAATGGTCCAACTTATGTAGCACACTGGGTCTGGACATCCAACCAGTAAAATTGTGCAGATTGTATAGGGGCACTGCTGCTCCTCAAGGCAAACCATCCCCACTGAGGGTAACACTAGGCTCTACCGAGGATGCCGAAAACGTTTTACTGACTTCCAAAGTCCTTTCTGTAGGGAGGACCTGCAATATACGTGTTAGGCCAGATAGGCCATGGAAGGAAAGACAGATGGCGAGGGAGTCGTCAGAGCTAATTCCTTCTGCCTCCATGGTTGTTCACGGCATTCCCGAACTGGGAACTGGGAACGCTTGTGAGAAGCACTGTCACGATGTACAGCAATGGAGATGGTCGGCATCCCAGATGGGTCTGGGAAGTTCAGGGGCTGTCTCTATTTTTAGACTGCCTCGACCCACTCACCTAATGTCAATTAACACCCCACGTCTGTTAGCTGTTGAGTTCAGCTCCCGAGACCACTTGACTACTGCTCTCCAGAGATGGTACGAGACCAAGGACAAGGTCAGCAGACACATTCGCTGCTGCGAGAGCCGGCCCCGTACCCAAAGGAGAGAACAAAACGTTGTCATAGAACATCCCCAACCCCTAGTCACAATACAGCGGTGCAGCACGGACGATGATAGCCAGTGTCATCCAAGTGCTCCGATTGAATCAGAAGAAAAAAACGCCAACAGGCCGGTTCCCGGGGAATCGGCCAACTAGTTCGTAGGATAACTCCTCAACAGACAGCCCACATCACGTCAACCACCCCCCAATACGGGGACGTGGTGAGACTGACTACCAGTTGCCTGTACAGTAATGTGAAAGGTGCCATTTGGTGCCATTTCACCGTTGGGTACTGTAAATATCTAGTGGGCAGCATTTATCGATCACCTTCATGTGGAGCAGACCACAACCAGGTACTGCTGAATGCAATTTCAGCGACACAAGACATGGGTTATGATCAAATTGTCATAGCTGGTGACTTCAATGCCCCATCTCTTAACTTGATGACGGGATGTGCCCAGGATAGATTTGATCGAAATCTGCTGCATACCATCAGGGAGGCCGGATTCACCGAAAATGTCAGAATGGATACTAGATGGGGCCCAGATGGGAAGTCTTCTAGACTGGATTACGTGCTCACTAGTGACCAGCTACTAGTGGAAAACGTTCAGATCACGACTCCCATAGGTAGTAGTGACCACGCGGTCATAACATTCGACATAGTCCTCCGCGAGCGTTTACAGTGGGACAATACACAGCCCTATGTGTGTTAAAACAAAGCCAATTACACCGAAGTGCGAAGACTTTTGTCTGAAGCAAATTGGCCAAAAAATTGGACAGAGCTTACAGTAGAAGAACACTGGGGAGTGGTAAAGGAGATCATTCACCAGGCGGTCTCAGACACTGTTCCTTTAGTCACACCAAAAGCTAGGAAGCAACGTTCATGGCTAAAACGGGGGACACAACGCCTTCTACAGGCGAAGCGAAAAGCCTGGTTTGCGTGGCGAGTATCGAAGAGTCAACCCGAACATGAGGTGTACCTTGAACTCAGGAATCGGTGTAACATACGAGTCCGGAGTGATAGAAGGACATTTCAGAGAAACCTCGCCAATAAGCTTCTCGTGAACCCCAAAAGCCTATGCAGGTTTATGTCTGAAAGAAAACCGACCAACCAGGGAGCTTGCAATCTAGTGGGTTCTGATGGGAAATCTCTTACTAGTCTTGAAATGGCAGAGACATTCAGTCTAGCCTTTCACAGGCAACTGAACAGTAATGAGGATTTTACCCCCACAAAACATGAAGATTACAATGCAAGACCAACGTGCGAAAACCTGCTGGTTACATTTCAAATTACCCCGGCTATGGTACTCGTAAAATTGGGAAAGTTGGTTTCGGGAAAGTCTGCAGGTTACGATGACATAAGACCATCCGTCCTGAAGCAGTGTTCAGAAAGTCTCTGCCAACCCCTAAGTGATCTGTTTCAACACTCCTTTGATGTAGGGAAACTTCCATGTGAATGGAAACGAGCCATCCTATCCCCTATCTTCAAGGGTGGTGACCGGCAGAACGCGACCAGTTACAGACCAGTTGCGCTACTCCCAGTGATATCGAAGATATTGGAAAGTCTCATTGACGACCATATGAGAAAATACTTCGACGGGACTAACCTACTCCATGAAGCACAGCACGGTTTCAGGAGGGGAAGATCCTGTGTGACGAATCTTCTACTAGCTTGGAGCGATTGGACACTATCCTGGGATGTAAAGGTACCAGTCCATGTGATCTTTCTCGACTTTGCGAAAGCATTCGACACAGTTCACTGTGGTCTGCTCCTTCACAAAATAAGCAAGGCGGGTGTTTCTGGAGCACTTCTCGCATGGCTAATTGACTACTTAGGCGAGAGAGAATTCTGCACCAAAGTCAACCACATCCGATCATCCTGGCACACCTCGGCATCAGGGGTTCCTCAGGGTTCTATCTTAGGGCCGTTGATGTTTTTGATTTTTATCAACGACCTGCCCTGTCAACTGAACTGCTCTGCGCTTCTTTAGGCTGACGACGTAAAGATTTGGAGAGCAATAAACTCATAGGAAGGCTCAGACGGATTGCAGGCTGACCTGCAAACTCTGGGAGACTGGGCTCTGGCTAACGGAATGCCTTTCAACCTAAAGAAGTGCAAAGTAGTGCAACTTCATTCAAGTAGGTCACAGAGTGTAAATTACACCCTTGATGGCCAGAACTTGAGTTGTGTGCCATCAGAACGCGATCTAGGTCTTATTTTAACAGAAAAGCTAGACACCAGTGTAAATTACACGAGGGATGTCGCCAAAGCTAACGCAACTTTACACTTTATGCATAGGCAGCTGGGAGCTCTTACTCCCGAACTATTCTTAAGGTTGTATACGACATACGTGAGGCCACTCCTTGAGGTGCATAATATCATTGCTCCTCCGCTACTCAAAAGGGATGCTAACATTCTAGAAAGTGTCCAGAGACGAGCGACAAAATGGGTGATCGGCCTCCGCAACAAACCATATGAGGAAAGACTGAAGAAATTAAGTCTTTTCACACTTAGTTACCGTAGTCACAGGGGAGACCCCATCACCGTCTATAAGATCTTAAATGACCAGGCCCACCCTAATAAGAGCATCCTGCCATTAAGTGATTACAGGCTTCCACGAGGTAACCTGCTAAGGATAGCACACCAGAGACCAAAAACTCGAGTGCATTCACATTTCTTCTCGCTTCGAGTTTGCCGTCTCTGGAACGCTTTACCGGCGGCCGTAACTACAGCTCCATCTGTGGAGACTTTTAAGCGGAAGCTGGACAATCATGCAGAAATGCATGGTTTGTGTCTCAATGGCTTACCCTCTTAAAATTTGAAACCACACTGTCAATGGATAAGCATACAAGCTAAATCCCCACGACCCGTCCTGTCTTCTCCCACTGTACCTACTACTCTATCCTTTCTTTCTTTCTTTCTTTATTATTTCACCTTTATTATTTCACTTATCTCAACCTATATTATCTACACTACAACCTATTATTATCATTATTACTATTCTACTTTTATGACTATACCGAATGACCAACGGGTGTTAGGTCAAACTCCATTCACGGCAGCAGCTGAGTCCTAACATACTGCACAATACAAACCACAATCTTGACCAATCCTCGCACCACTCCTCTTGGAGTCTACCAGAGCTAAAGCAGTCGAGTGGCGGGATTTACTACGCATAAGTTCACCGAAGATCTGGAACCTCTACCTTACAATCAAGAAGCGAGCTCAAAGAAATCACTGGTTTATACTAGCTCGTAATCAGGATATTGGATATTGGATGGTGAATATCTCTTATTTCCATTCGAAACTGTGTATCCGTTAAGTATTCATTTTACTGTTAAGGCCGAATTTTAAAGTGGAATCCTTAAGTTGGATGATGAAATAATAGAAAATTCTGGTTTATCAGTTATGTGAAGCAACACGGTCAATTGGATGAGGACGAAATTGAACAACTATTGTCGCGTAAACACCCTAAGAGCGGTCCGATAGTTTATGACGCTACGTTGCCTTTAATACTCCCTTGTGGTAAGGATTGATGTCGTTGGAAATGGCACCTGTGATTGTAAAATTTAGTTAACTTATTTCATAATAAGATGAAATACAAGCTAGCAGCCGAGTTAAATATTTTTAAGCGTTATTTTATGTCAAGATGTATAATGGCTAATAATTAAATGTTTTGAGTGTCTCCTATTCTGTGATTGTGGATTTTATTTTCCACTTGAGAATTGATTCAAAGAGTTTGTGATCAGTGGTGCACAGTGGAGTGGCTTGACGCCGGGATTTATTGTCTTCTGTTGAAAAAACTGAGTCCTCACTTTGTTGTTGAAGTTCCGTTTAACACGACTAGACAGTTCCTCTGCTCAAGGTGTATCATGATGGTTATTGAGTATTCGAATTAGTGTCAGAAAGAAACTCGTCGAAGAATTTTTATGTTTGAGGCTAGTTCCTCACATAAGGCCTTTTTCAAACAGAAACTTCAGCTTATTGTGATATTCATATGGCGATGTATTAGCGAATTAGAAATGAGCATTTTTAGTCTCTGGAGGCTTTAAAGTGACTAATAACTTCATATTCGGGTAATTCTATAGTTTAAAAAGATTCCATTGAATAAGTTGATGGCTAATTAGAATAGATAGTGTCGGTGGCACAGTGGTTAGGACTCTCGACGACCATGCACATGGTCAGGGGTTCGATCCCCTGCCGACGCACACCTGATGTCTATGGTCGGCCTGCAAAATTTTGGCTATCAATATCCATGCTGAAAATTCCATACTTGTACTGAAAATACGGTGTGGCATCAAGCTGTATTCAAAATATAAAGAAATAGGAAGATTCAAGGGCATTTGTATTATCTACTCCGGTGTAAATAAAAAATATCAGGAATAAACTCGGTAGGTGATAGTCCCAGCGAAGAGGATAAATTGCAAAATCGTACAAACGGACTGGTATGATAGAAAGGTGCTGAACGAAATTGTTTGAACACACCCAAGCTTACCATAATGCTAAATTAAATCTCACTAATTCTGAAATAATTCTCACGTTCTATAGTGAGTAACTTCTGAATCTGTTCTGAAATGGATTCTTTAATGGCACAGACTAGAACTCAATGCTGGTTTTCAGCATGACTGGCACTAATTCAGCACCGTGTTCTTTTTCTAGGCATTCTCAGGAGTAGATCAGAACCTACTGCGTTTGCTTATCAGCGTTGTTTCAGCCCTCACAGGACATATTCAGCGCGGACTGGCGTTACTTCAGAACGAAAAGACTTAATTCAGCACCCAGCTCTCTTTTTAAGCACGACCAGCGTCATTTCAGAACATAGTGTGTAGATAAAATCTTCATTTACCATAAAAAGGCATTATCGAAGAATAGGTTAGAATAAGTTTAGAATTGTTGTAAGCTGGGCAGATTTGGCATATACACATGAATTTCGATCACTTGTGCTGTAGGTAAAAATCGCACTCACAGATTTTGAGGAAAGTTAGGTGAGAGGAGATAAATAACTTTAAAAGCTGTGTAAGTGTTTGAGGTGACGTTAAACTTCGACAGCCATATCGACTGACCTTAGAACTAACCTCGAGGAACTGTGCATTCACCTAATCGCACACGATATGTAGCTAGCTTCACAGGAGCAGTTAAATTAGTAAATTCACATGAAAGAGGTGAATTTGGCAGTTTGTCTTTGTTTATCATGAATTAAGTATTCGTTGTCTGCTAAATAAACAACGTAGTGTAGTCAACGTCATTTTAGAAAAACACATACAAGCGAACAATATTGTTTTCAATTAGATCTCATCAGGCTTAACTCTAATATACATAGCTTTACAAATAAAATTCAAATATAAACCAATCATGGTGTTTTGTCTACAGGATAGTAAGATGGTGAATATAAATTGTGCAATTAGTCATTAGAGTAATAATAATCATAGTTTTATCAATAATTAGGATGAAGAAGTGAGACAGTCTATGATAACGCGAATAACGAAAAACAGCATGATTAAACAAACAAATGTTCAGGTAGAAGTAGTCGATAAAGGCTAAGAAAAACAAATGAACCGATTAAGGAATGCTAGATTGTAAGGGAAGTAAATGAAACACGTTTTTAATGGAGATGTGATAAGATTAAGTGATGATAAGAGAGGGGTTGAAAATATAAGTAAGGGGTGGTGTAGAAGTCATCAGCTGGTTATGTCTTTATAGGCCAAGGGAGGGATAATGGCTGTACGAACTTCTTTTGAATGCATAGTTTAGGTTCAATAGTTCGAATGCTTATCGCCTCAGCTGTGTGCAGTAGACGAATACGAAGTCTATTAGAAAGATTCGGTGGGATACGATGAATTACTTTGAAAGCTCTCGTTTTCGCCACTACATGACCACTATCAACTAAATGTGACAAAATTGAGCTATGGATTGTTTTTGTCTGTCATTTGCCAAACCACGATGGGAGATGTTCACTATCACGTTGGCTAAGCTGTCTAGTAGTACGCCCAATATAACTGTCACCACAGGTGCAGTTCAATTGATAAATGCACATAGATGTGGCAAAACTACCTAGCTTATCCTTCGTTTGCGTCCCAATCATTCGTCGGCTAGATAATGACAAACACAGGTATGCTGTGTAAAACAATATTGTTCGCTCAAGCGTCATTTTAGCCCAACTTCTTTAAAAGTTGTGTAGGCTGCCCTCATAGGTTGTGATACAATTTCGCAGTAATCTCCATTGAACTTCAGTCTTAGGAACACATTTATTTCGAAACAGTAAGCAATCTGGATTCGATGCCTTCTGAATCCATGTCTTGATTTAAAAATCCTGTAGTATATCTGTTTCGACCTTACAGATCACAAATATTACCGGGTTCTTCGCCTGAACTGATAATTCTTGCATAGTGAACTAATGATCTAACCAGATTTTGCTTGCGTTGTAGATGGATGAAACTCAGAAAGTGGGTACATTGTCAGGTTTATGTAGATTCTTGATGTGTACATCTACTGATTATTCCATGTGCTTGTTTTGCAATTAAAAAATGCTAGATGAGGTGGAGTCATATCGTTCCTTTCTGGTAAAACTTGCAGTTGGATAAATTTTGTTAAATTTCTACAGTATACGCTTCTCTCCACTTTCCTTAAAATTATCATTCACATAACGGCAATAAAAATCCATATCATTTATAATACCTTCTGAGGGCCTTTCTTTAGTAAAATGTCAGATAGGATCTAAACCGTTTACGATCCCTATGCAACATCAACTCTCTATACATCTTTTTACTGAGTAGAAAGTGTGCGTTTAGCGTACATTTAGAAAAAGCTCCTTCAATGAAGACAAGAATATTCATCTCTATACCTTCTGTCAATTCATTAAATTTTTAATCTACTGTCTCCATCATAGGCACATTGGTAAATAAAGAAGTCACATTCAGAGGTATGAACCTATAAATCACCTCAAAGTCTCTTTATTTGTTCGACATAGTTTAAATCCCGTCACGATGGGGTTCCTACGTCTTACTACTATTTCAAATTTTGTCAATGCAAGTGGGTCAGCTTTTATGCAAGGACTACCTTAGGAGTGCGACCTAATCTAGTCTCACGTGAGTTGCATATAAAGTGGGTGACAGTCATCACTTGACTAACTTTCGTAATATATTCATTGTTTTCCATGATTTGTAATTTCATGTTTATTTTTCACCAATGGATATCAACAATTGGCCCTGAAAGACGTTTCCATGACCTTTGAGATCACTGTATGTGTGTGTTTTAATTTAAATCGCATGGTTATTTTCCATACTTTAAAGAACTTGTTAGTGCTCAACGTTGGCGCTCTATTATTATTATTCCCTTGAGTTCCGAGTGGAATTTAGAACTTCAACAACACATCTCCATCTTCTCCTCTCTTCTGCCGTCCTCTTCAACTTGGACCACGATTGCCCACAATCTCTCATCTCCTCTTCAGCACACGACCTCCTCCATGTCACCCTCGGACGACCCACTCGTCCCTTCCCATTGGGATTCCACTCGCGCGCAGCGTCATTCGGCGGCCTCCTCAATGTATGCCCGATCCATCTCCATTTTCTACATATTATTCGAACGATATATCCTTGGTTGGTTTGTTGCTAGAGTTTCTTGTTACTAATTATTTCTGACCATTTGATCTTCAGTATGGAGCCAGCGAAGACAGCTGTTGATAAAATCCTGTATACGTTGGAAGTCCTTTTCGTGATACACCAAGTTTCTGACCCGTATGGAAGGACAGGCTTGATATTGGTGTTGAAAATCCGAATCTTGTTCTTTATGCTGACTGAATGAAGCAGAATATTTCCAAACTGGTTTCAGGTTGGTGAAGGGGTGTCTTGACTTTCCGATTCTGGCTGGTTTTGACATCTTCATCCGTTCCGGCTGCCTGTGGTTGAAACGACGCTTCCTAGATAAGTGAAGGAAGTAACCTCTGTCAAATCTCTTCCATTGATGGTGATTGGTGCTGATTGTTTTTGTTGTTGTTGCGGTTCTTTGGTTATCTTCATCGCCTCCGTCTTCTCTTTGTTCACTTGATGTTCTGTCTTCACTGCCTGCTTCTTCTGCCAAATTGTCGGTTTTCATCTGTAATTCTTCAAATTTATATGACATTACACATATGTAGTCCACGAAATCCAGATCTTCCAGAGTCTTCTTGTCAGTGGCCCAGCGTATTCCTGTCTTCTCACTCCCAACTCACAGTCTGACTCATAATATAGTCCACCACAATTAGGAATATCATCGTGGGTGATAATAGGCAGCCAGCTTGTCTTACTCCTGTGTTCACTTCGAACGCCTCGCTGAGTTTTTGGTTGCGGATCACCTGACATGTGGCATTGTCATATAGCCAGCTGTTGAATAAGGTTGATAAAGTCTTGGGTACTGCACGCCGTAGTGTGGAAGTAGTTTCCAAACTACTTCTCGGTTAACGCTGTCGAAGGCTTTTTCGAAGTTGATGAAGTTGAGGTACAGATTTGACAGCAATTCTATGCTTTGTTCTATGGTGACGATGCGTAGAGTTGCAATTTGATCAGCATACGATTTGCCTTTCCTGAATCCAGCATTTTCCAGTGGGGCTGGCGGAGTTCTGTATCCAGTGCATCCTTTATTTTCTCCAGGATGATGCAACTTAGTATTTTACTTGGCGTAGATAAGAGCATTATTTCACGCCAGTTTCTGCACAGGGCTAAGTCGCCCTTATTTGTCAGTTTCATGAGATAGCCCTTCTTCCAATCAGTAAGTACCTTTCCTTCCTTCTAAACTGTTTGCAGTAATGGGCCGTCTTCAGTGCTTCGGGAAGAATGCCGTCTTGTCCTGCTGCCTTCCTGGACTTCAGTAGCTTGATCGCATTCAGGATTTCTTCTTTCGTCGGAGAAGTGGTGTCCACTGGCAGGTAGTTCTGTGTGAACTGTTGGTGGTATTTCTGGGCGAGTTGCCGGTGGTGGTCGATTCAAGTCATTTAAAGTGATCAGCCCATTGTTTGATTTGTTTCTCCTCCTTGGTGATCAGGTTTCCTTGAACATCTTTCATTGGTTTCATCATCTGGGTTGATCGCTTCCCGGATAGAGACCTGGTTATCTGATATAATGTCCTGAGGTCTCTTTTACCTGTGACCTGCCCGTTTTGCTTATTTTACCAGCCAGTGTGTCATAGAATTGTCGTTTGTCTTTTCTAGCACTCTTCTTCAATTCTTTATTCAGTGCAGTGTACATTGAACTCAGCTTCTCTTTCTCTTGTCCATCTTTGCATTGAGTCGTCTTCTGTTTCACCATCCTCCACTCATCGATTAGCTTCCAAGTATCCGTTGACAGCCATTCCTTGTCTGGTTTCTTCCTTCTTCCTGGAACAGTTGTGAACGTTTCCTTAAATATCGCTTTTAGAGAGTTCAAATGTTCTTCCACACAGGTTTCCCCAGTGATGCCACGTAGTGTGTCCGACTATGCGCTGATCTGATCTGCTGTGAAGGCATCCCTTGTAGTTTCGTCATTCAGTTCCTGAATGCTGAACTTGAATTACAGTGGCCTATCTCCATTTGTTTTCATGGATTTCAGCTTCACCTTGAGGGTTCCTTGAACTAGATGATGGTCTGAGCCTGCCCACATCTGCTCCCCTTCTCGACTTTGTGTCCAGCACACTGGCTGCGTCTACACTTCCTTGAGATTGAGATGAAATCCATTTCGTTCGTGGTATGTCCGTCGGGCGAAATTTATGTTGCTTTGTGTATATCCTTGTGTTTGTACACGTTCCCTCCGATCACCAAATCGTTGTAAGGGGAGAAGTCTGAGAAGAGTTCTCCTCGACCTATAATGAGTTCTCTTCCTGTATTATCTGCCCCCGTTCGGTTGGCATTCATATCGCCCATAGGGATTTTGATGTCATCATTCTATATCTCATCCACTACTCTTTGTAGTTGTCTGTAAAAATCCTCCTTTTCTTGTTCTGCGTTGTTTGTAGGTGCGTAGCATTGGATAATTGTTACCTTCCTTCTTTTGGAGTTGAATCTTGCTGCCATAACACTGGATGAAATTGGTTCCCACTGCATTAGGGCTTTGGCTGTCACTGGTGACATCATGATAGCCACTGACTGCATCAGTGTGTTCGTGGCTGTCGTCTGGGTGACCAGACCGGATTAGATTACTGACTCTCCAGTTGACAATGTTGTCAATCCACATCCATTCCATCTGCTTTCGCAGATACCCAGTACTTCTAAGCCATATCTTCGCATCTCTTTGGCTACCTGGGCAGCCTTCCTAGTCTCGTACATTGTACGGACATTCCACGTCTCCATTCCTACTCTTGCTCTCATCGAGAGAAGACACATGGGCTGGCTGGCAGGCTTCTCGAAGGCTTTCACCAGCCCGCTGTGTCATTTCACCTCTCCGATTTGAGCGAGGAATAAGATTGTTGTTATTTGATCTTTTTGTATTTTAATATATTTTCTGTGTGTTGAAGTTTCTTTAGCGGTTTGAAAGATTTAATGGTGTGGGGTTGCTAGCCCCACACCCAACCCTCCCTCTTTACCCGGGCTTGGACCGGCTAGGAAACTAGCGAGCTAGTTAACTAGGCGAAGTTCAGCGTTGACTCTCTAGTGAATAGGAAACATAATTATTTGTGTTCGTTAACGATAATCTGTAGGATAGATTGTTTCTAGCAAATGTGGACACGTGACTAAGAGCATATCATAGTTGACCTTGTTTTCCACTCTGAAAAGTAAATTACTCGAAATCTCATAATATCCTTACTAAATGACACTTGATATCTTAATAAATGAAAGTTGATGTACTGTCGTTTTTAGTCTATGACAATATCCTGTTTGTCGTTGAAATTGATTAAGAAATGTCTCGATGAAGATGTTTAAACATTATTATTATTGTTTCCTTTAATTCCTAGAGGAACATAGGGCTTCAGCCGTGCGTCTCCATTGCGTTCGGTTCTCTGCTAGAGTCTTCACCTGGCTCCAAGTCTGCCCACACGTTTTCATCTCTTCACATGACCTCCTCGAAGTCACCCTTGGACGACCAACTCGCCGCTTCCCTTTCGGGTTCCACTCGAGCACTGGCTTGTCTAGTGATGTCACTTGATGGTTTCCTCAGAGTACGGCCAATCCATCTCCATTTCTTCCTGTCTATTTGTTGCACAATCGGTTCCTGGTTGGTTCGCTCCCAGAGATCTCATTTATTTAATAATGAGGACAGGGCGGTTCATCCCATTTTATCTTGAGTTTCAGGTGAATCGTACAACCGATTTTTCTGCTTTCTTTATTCCCACTTTCTGTGACAAGCAGATCATTTATGGTATGAATATTTCGGGATTCCCGGGGGAAACTGTCGTTGATTTTCATGTTTAACTGTTTAACTTTCAAATGGAAAATCTGATTTGACTTAAGCATTCTTCTGAACATCATGAAAAAGATGATTTGATTCTAAAATCAAAATCAGTTGATGACCGATTACCTTAATGTGACAAATTTAACTCAAATCTTTTTGTTATTTCACTGAGACCATATTTTCCATTTAAAGGTCACTCATTGTCCTGCAGCAAGAGGAGTCAAGAAATGGTTCATATGGAACTTATACGTAAATTCCCACTGCTAATGGCTCTACGTCGCATATCCACTTATGAAAACAGACTTCACAGAACCACACCATTGATACCAGTTATTTCACGTTGTGCTTCAGTGTTTTCCTCCTTCCGATCAAAGTTCGGACAACAATCAGAAAAAGAAAAGGAAAAGCCTGATGATCGGTAAGGAAGACTAGAGTTGTTTTATTCAATAATTGTCATGAGTCCACCTAAAAGAGGTTATTATCATGTTTTTTCCAATTTCTATTGCAGTTTTAGCTTAATTGTTATGCTACAATGTAGAATTGGAATTTACCGCTTAACATTTCGAACGTAATATTAGATAGGTGTTAATCACTGATTATCCCAGTTTATTAGGAGAAAGACAAGTCTTCCTCGGATAATCATAGGGGGATAACGTTGACTAATATAGTATCCAAACTACCAGGTCCGGTAGTTATGCGTAGACTGGCCAGTGACTGGGAGAAATAAACCCCGGAAAACCAGTCAGACTATAGGCGTATTGATCATGTTTTCACCCTTCGACAGATTCTAGAACATGGGCGTACTTACTGGTGTTTAACATTCGCCATATCTCGGTAGAATTTGACTTTATCATCCTAGTGCTGCTGTGACAGTGCTTGTCCGTGAAAGGGGTTCCTAGAAAGTATATCGCACTAATCAAGGCATTAGCTCTACTTAAACTCACACAGTCGTGTATGAGTTTACGGAAAGTTGTCATCTGAAGTGATGACAAACATTGGTCATCTTCAGCGATGCCTTTGTCCCCAATTTTGTTTAGTTTCATCATGGATATACTAATGGAATTGACTCTAACTGACTTTAGCAACTTCCGGATTGACTTGTTACCACGGTGTATTCTCGTCTAATCAGGGTGTGTGGATGATATTTTCCTCGTAGTTGATGGTGATAAGATGGTCTTGTGAATACCTTGAGGGCTGACAGTAAACGACGTGTTGGTAAATCATTCAAAAGATGTAGTATTATGAGTGAACTAGTATTGGGACACATTTAATTCTAATGTATTTGAATAGTCTAGCAAGATGTTGGTTAGTTTCAGTCCACCTTGATGAGAAATCTAGGAATGATTAGCATTCGTTTCACTGCTGTCCGATGTAAGATGATGACGTTGAAGTGAACTTATACAGATATATAGTTAAAGCTAGTGAAGTGGTGTAATATGTTGATCATTTGAGTTATTTAGGAAATTGCATCCGCCCTCATTTCGGATGTCACAAGCTGGTGTGAGATTTGTCAACTTAGGTCATCTCTGGCTTAGACGTGATATCCGGCTGTCGATCGAAGGATGTGTGTACTGTTCAGCAGTTCGCTCTATCCTCTTTTATGGCTGTAAGACATGGCAATTGATAGTGGAAGATATGAAATGGCTGACTGTCTTTGTTTACAGAGGTTTACATTCTATCTCCTGTATTAAGTGGTGTAATGTGGTGAGTAATATCGTAGTTACGCGTAGAGTGTTAGGTAGGTGTAGGATAAGTAAGTCAATGAAGTTGTGAAATTACATCGGTTGAGAAGGCTATGAGACGTGTCGCGCATTTGGAGCCACTAATTGCCTTGAATACCAATGTTAACCGACACACAATTAGGTCGGCAAAGAGTTAGGAATGGTACAGCAAAACTTGGTAACAATGCATGAATTTTTACTGTTGGTTCGAGCCTCTTGGGGAGGTGTAAACTAGCTGGTTCTATTCTCGGGTTGCTAAGAACCAGTGGCTTGAGACTGCTGGCAATGTGGCTCAAAATCGTTCTCAATGCCTCGGATGCACTCACTCTTTGTGATCCCCCAAATCTGTTAATTTTTTGTGTTTCTCCCATTCGTCTCTGGTTATTATGGTTGTTTTAAGTCTGTTTTCTTTCTTTTCTCTATTTTGTGTATTGCACAAAGTGTGACAACTTGAACTGCTTCACTCCTGTGCAAAGGTGTGTGTTGGAACTCAGTTTGTCAACCAGCCAAACATCTACTTAATAATCCATGTGATGTATCATATTGTATAACCATTAGATCAAATGTAAATATTTTCTTAATCAAGAAATTAAGGCCATCCATAAACAGGACTTAATTCTGAAATTACACATGATGATTATGCAGATATGTACTGAGACCACGTACTATATTTTTAAATAAAATGGACATTGTCACGACAAGTACTAATAAACTACATCATAAAAGTGTGAGCTATATGTGGGGAAACAAGAGACTCCGTTTCTTTTTCTCAATTATACTGTAATTTGGGCTACTGAGACTTTTATGAGGTCTGTGGAGTAAAACAAGACTATTCAACCAGGTTCAGTGGGTTGATTGTAGAGTCGGACATGCTGGTCACACTAGTCAGTAAACGTCACTTCAGCGATGTAAATCACTCTGTATAGAACCTAATTTGTAATCATATCTGCTACTGAGCTATGTCATCTCATGGATTATTTAATAATTATCACTGTCTATTGGGAGATTTTGTAAAATTCTACTATTAATACAGAAGAAAGATCAAAACTTCGAAAGAAGAAGCGTGAAGCTTGCGATACAATTATACTCATTAAATAATCTTGTGTTATTCGGAAAATGATACTCTTTTTAAGTGTATACCGTGAACACAAAACAAAATGTAGCAGAATTACTCTTTGCCAGAAGAAAAATTTCTTAGGAATACACTGACTTACGATTTTACTTCTAGAACATCAAAAGCAATTCATCTCTTGTTGTATTTACATTTTGACAAGATTGTAGTAGCAACAACAAGATTGAATTCAAGATTCTATCTTGAACAAAATTACTTTTGAATGGATATATATATATATATATATATATATATACAATTAGCTTCCAATGAGCTACTGGGTTCACTTGATATATTTTAACGTCTTCTGTTGTCGAAAAGTAAAGCTCTTATGATCCCGAATCAGAAATGAATTGGTAAAACTGTCGTGTTCTGCCAGCTATTCATGCGTTTCTTGTTAAAATACATCCTTCATAGCGTCATTTCCATGTTTTCTCATATCATATCATACCATACATACCAACGTAACAACAGGATTTTGTATGATTTTTATTTAAGCAGATGTTTGTCAGATTTGGCATTATTCTCACGAACCGTTTTAACACTAACTAATAAGGATACACTATGACTGAGTTCTCCGCATGTTTGACTTTGTAACAACTAAGAATTAGTGGTTAACTAACCTTTATATTTCCTACATTTATTCCCCTTAATGAATTTGAACAAAGCATGAACTACAGTTTTAGCAGAATAATTTCCAGTTCTCTTAACTGGAACTCTAAAGTTGTTAGTTTTTGCTTTGTTTAATCCGCTTATTTCTCCATTAAATTATCCCTCGAATGTGGCCAAATCTTCATGTTCGGTTTTATACAGTAGACCGTACAGTTTTTTCTCATTAATCATTTATTGATCATAATCATATCAAGTTATACGAGTGCCTCGATGTGATTATGAGCAATAAATTGTTCTTGAAACATTGTCAGTAAATAATACCATATCACTAATTTCTACCAAATAAAATTATTGTATAGTGAAATTACACTACCGCAATGGCCATTTTCTATCCTTATACTTGGACCCTGTCTACATGTTTGTCAAACACAGCATGTATCCGCGGTCTTGGATTCCATAATTTTGCCTCATGAAGCTTGTTAACGGATTTAACAAATAATTTGGATACCGGATGCTCCCACACACAGTTAGCAGCATTTCTTCAGGAGATTAGGTCTATTATTCTCCTAAGTCAAATTGTGTTCATTGGTTACTGAAGAGAGATTTGGAAGCAACGTGAGTTTTTCAACAAAGAAACGAAAAGAAAGTTTTAAGCATAAGGAGAAAGGCGACCGACCGCTATGTGAGATTTGACTGACAACTGAGATTAACATTTCCTAGCCACTCACATCGTGGAAGATGGCGACTTTTGCTGCATCTAAAAGAGGAAACGAACTAATTTTTGACTACAGAGCCTCCTGGATTTGTGTGTGGGGTCAGTCAAGTAGGAATCATTTCCAGATTTTAGAATTAGTCTTATTTTCGCATACAGAAACTCATTGTCCAATACCGACCATCATAGGTTAGATTAAAGGAAAATATATTTGAAGTCAAAATTTTGTGATGCCGTTTCTTCTAAAGTTGCTTATCTGATTTACTGATTGTCCCAAGGGAAGGTTCCATAACCAGGTGTATAAATACACTTACAAACCCTCATATACAAGCACTTTACAGTTTGAGGTTAATTGCCCATGTTACTATAGGATCTCAAACAGAGAATGTCCTATTAATATATGTGTAAAACTTGGGCACTGTGGTAGTAAGTAATTCCATATTAGTTTGTTTATTAGGTATATCACACAGTGAAACAGTATTATTTACTGGATGACGTTTCGAACAAAATTTATTGTTCATAATCATATCAATATGATTCACTGTGTGATATACCTAATAAACAAACTAATATAGACAATGTCCTAGGTAGCACACATCCCTGAGTCTTTGGAATATTCAAGATATACAGGCTCATTAAGCGAACAGTGAAAAAAACTTTGGTCTCCACAGGTTTTGTTCTTTAAGACGTTTCTTCGTTCACAGACTTTCATGACTTCTTTTTCTAAAAATGTTTGTAGTGAATGGGTAGACGCAGTTCAAGAAATTGAGAAATCAGAGGTGTTAAAGTTAAAACGATCTGATGTCAGTATGAGCAGAACAGAACTTCGGGAGTGGAAAAAACGAGCATTTTTGGTAAGCATTACCTAGTGATTTCTGTAATTATTATTAACCACAATGAAAAAGGTTTGATTGAAGCCGAGATCACTGCAAGGCTTAAGTCAACCCTTCAAGCTACTTTGTATTATGTCATTTATATGTATATCCCTGTATCTGCGCTTTTATATACTAGTTTAGCTTTCCTATCCTAGTGAATCAGCGAGCTTCAACGATCTGTTCCCGCAGGTCCTACCATGCCAGAAATGTCGTTTAGATTTTGGTTGCACTAAAGTCAGTTACCATCATAGTCTGAGGACAAAGTTGTACTGCCGGCGAATAGTGATGCAACGTCTGTGTGCTGCTGTCCAACGTCCAGTAAGCCAGATATTATGCTCTTTCGCACTGGGAGGGGGTGGTTAATAATCAGAAGTTTGTCTGAGAGATTGTTCACCAGATAGATCGTACTCTACAACAGTACATACCCGGGCGTAATCTCCTTCTTAAGAAAAAGACTCCAAAAACAAATTGATAAGCCGTGTTTGGTTTGTCTCCAGCGCTTTTTCTTCGGGTTCTAGAGGCAGATAGGTTATTCATCTCCTCTTAACACTGAATATTGTCGACAACTTTAACCGGAAAAACAGCTTTGCCACTCTCGTAAAACTACTCTGCGAACTTTTCATTTGGCTTACAACGTCCGCACTCTATTCAAAATCATATAAGCCTCAACAGGCCTCTCTAACCAAAACCCTTGTCACCATCGTTTTAAAATTTGTGCTGTGTATTTGAGGCACCATATTTTTTTATATTTTTGAGTATAGATTGATCCCACACAGTATTTTTCGTTACAACTATAGAATTTTCAGCATGTGATATCGGTAACCCAAATTTAGCAGGCAGACAATTGATATCAGGTGTGCGTCGGCCGGGGGTCGAACCTCGGACCATGTGCATGGTCGGCGAGCGTCTTAACCGCCGTGCCTCAGCGAATCTACAAAACCCAACCTACAAGTGTCGAAAGATTCTTCAGCTATTTTGCGTAAACTTTCCGGTGTAGGAATAGCATTGAGCGCTATAGCTGAAAACTTGCAATATAGCTATTAATAATGATGCTGGGCTTGGAGTTTTAGGTAAGGAAGTAAGCCCAATCGAAGAATTGGTGAGGCTGCACATACTGGGATGGCCAGGTTTTATGACTGCCGAATATAGACACCTTACCACTTAACGCTAATGCCCGGTTACCAATTTCCTAGATTTTTCTTGCTACAGTTAATAAATCTGAAAATTCCTACAGTGACTTTAAAATTTGTATTCCAAACGGGTGGTCTAAAGATAGGTATATAACAGCAGTAATAATAGTGATTCAAATAGCACCATGGAAACTGGTCGTGAAGTAACATGGACTGAACAGTGGATGTATATCAGTATAGTGGAATCTAATTTGTTGTGAAGGATGCTTATTTGATATAGGACACATTGAGAGAGTAATAATAACTGGATGATATGATTATGAGTAATAAATTGTACTCCGGTTACTCATACTTTAATACTGTGTACCACATCGAAGTAACCTATCTAGTATGGAATTATATTCTTCCACAGTTCCGAAACTCTGCTTTAACGTCAATAACAAATGAATGGTCAGTATGTGTACTATTTGAATACCGATTGATGAACTGTCAAGCTGGGTTACAGTAGCACATAGTAGGGCTAAGTTGAAGTTCAGCCAGAGGTGATCAGAATAAAACATGGCATCAATTGCTAAAGTTATGTAGGACGGTTCGATTGTACGGCTAGGTTCCTTGCGTTGCTATGATTCAGTTTTTCGAGACTTTTAGTGACATGTAATTTCGTTGATAGTGACACAAATGTATTGAATCCCTGTCATCGTTCGGTTTCATTAAATCTTCAGCCTTCTTTGTGTCATCGTTCTGTATATGTGCTTTATGAAGTGTGGCAACTTGAACTACCACACTTTTACATAAAGCTTTACGTTGATAAGGGGGTAGGTCAGTCAATTCACTTGTTTATTGTACTTTTTGAAGTAGTGAAAATTTTATGTAGCCTATTTTGCAGTCTTAACTTGCCGTTATATGTTTTCTGAGGTACACTTTTGATACGCATGTTTTTGCAGGTCTACGTTGGAGTGAATAATAAATGAATAAAATAATAGTTTCACGCAATAACCCATGTCGTGAAACCCAGTGATTTTAATGATGTCCAATATTTTTATTGAAACCAGTGAGGTGCTTGTTTGTGGTTCAGACCGTAAAAGTTCTTTAGCTTTGATGATTAATTGGTAAATCTAAGTAGAATACAAACTTGACGGATAGTGTACAAAATAATAATACAAGATACAAAATAATATTTTTGTTACAGCATATTTTGGAAGTGTTTATCCATCGGTCGGGACCCACTAGAAAAGGTTTCAGTGCATTTATTCAACAGGCGCTGGCTAAAATGCCTGAATATGAAGTAGCTGATGATTTAGAGTGTTATAAAGCTGTTATCCGAATATTTCCCACTGGGCGTATGACTGTCACACGTTATCTTCAAGCTGAATTCGGCCACTATCCAAGACAACAGCAAAGAATGATTGATGTACTAAATCAAATGACAGATCATCGTAAGTTGAAAATATTTCAGTGTTATGCGTTAGATTACTTTTCGTTTCATATTTCGTTTCTTTTTTTTCTTCCTTGGTTTGTTAAATAGTTTACAGACACTTCTTATATTGTAACACTTGTTAATTGATATAAAGATTTAGATGTTTCAACAACTTTGACGACCATCATAAAATGTTATTTATTCACTTAACTATATGCCGTCTCCTCTCCAATTAGTTTCCGTATATTAATACGTCATATTTTCTTCTGCAGTGCCTAATCGACAACTACTGCCTTGAAACGCTGGTCTAGGTTGCAAACCGCAATTCTCCACTAACCTTTACCGGCTGGTTTAAATGTTTTCTACAGATCCTACGATGCCAAAATAGTCGACTGGATAACTGTTAAACGGAAAGAATTTAACATCGTAATGTTAGTTACATACTCTGTGGTGTGCGCCTGACGACAAAGTTCCACTGTTGGTGAATAGCGGTTTAACAGCATTATGATACTTTTTTTCGAGTAATCAACAAGTCAACTATTCTGATTTCAAGTTACGAGTAGGAGCCGTTAGAAAAGCTCTACCTCCAAAACTGTACATTCTGACTAAAACTAAGGCGGCCAGTAGCGGGTGGTGATATGAACGAAACATCACCACTCTGCATCCATAATGTGCTGTTTGTGACTCCTCATGCAGTTATCGTATGGACTGCATGTTTACTTAACATTAATATATTTTTTTATCTGTGAAGTACTTTGGAGACAAATCAACCCTGTAATTTGTGCAGATGACGATTATCCATCATCCATGTACCTCCATTAGCAAACAAAAAGTCGTTTTCTCTATTTTGCTTTACTCTCACTGCTAATACTATTCCACAGGCAGTTTCTTCACCTTGCCTTAACCCTGTTAATAATAATGAGGTTATATGGTAAATATTAGATAAAGGAGGAAAGTCAGTTGATGAGGTTGTAAATGTGCATCGATTGAGATGAGTCGGACATATGTTACACATGGCTAGTCATTGTCCTCCTCAACGACCAATACTAGCTCATATAGGTTTAGTTTGAAAAGGACTGAAACCTGGCTGTTGATCTTAGTTGTGCAGATTGCCTCTCTGAGTTCTTTGAGACTGTAAGACCCATTGGTTGGAGTCTGTTGGTGACGTGACTCATAATCGTTCGTAATAGCGCAACAAAACCAATTCAGCAAGGGGAATTTTCTTTATCGATGAAGTTATCTTCAAAGGTTGTACAGTCGTATTTATATTTCGTAAAAAGCATGGCAGTAGGTTATTGCGTAACATAAGTGTGATATAATTGATACAGTTACTCACTGGTTTTTAAATATAGAACAAAAAGTAATAATCACCGACACAGAGGAAGTATATGTTTGAGATTTGACAATTAGAAAATTCTTGTTAAGCGAAAGATAAAGTGGTTGAGTATTCACTTGGCAAGTGTGAAGAAGATAAACAAAGAAACTGACTGCCTGAGTTTCAGTGTAGAACTTGATACACATCTGCAGCAGTTCAATTTGCCACATCCTGTACAGTACACAAAGGGAGTGAAAAAACAAACAAAAAAAAGATTCAAATGAACTAAAATGGGCAGAAATGTACGGGGGAGGGAACAATTACATGAGGAAACACTAGGAGTTAACGGATCTGGTAGATTACGAAGAGTAAATGCATCTGAGATAGTGAGAACGACTTTGAGCAATATCACCAACAGTCTCAAGTCATTGAATCTTAGCGACCTGAGGACACAACCGGACGAACTATACGTCCTTATGCGGCCCAAACCAACTATCAAGGACTAGATGAATCGGTAAAAAGTTTTGGTGCATCACCCCTAACTCTTTTCCAACCTAACCGTAAGTTGGCTAACATTGTAGCTTGATGGATATTGCTAAGAAGAGGCCGAAACTGAAATCAACATTTCAAGTCAATGACTGCAGAGTTAGGAGTGCTTAACCCTCAAATCTGGATTTAGCTTACGTCATGGACATGAAGTAAACTCACTGGACAACCTGTCTAACCTTGGACCAATCGCCAACCAATCAGAACAACTTGTTGTCATTGACCTAGCAGAACTTTAACGTGGCTAAGAATGTATAAGTATGATGGGTCTTCCTTAATAACGGCCTGTTACCACATCTCTTATCTTCTTCCCTACAACATTTTTCGTCGAGGAAGACAGTGGATCGCAGTACGTGTCCTAGTTTGCACGTACTATTCGTATCTTTTGTTGTATTTCTCTTCTGCTTGTTCACCGTTGTTTTGTGGTTTTTATTTTGATAACTGATGTCCACCATCTCTAATATCCAAAACTTGATGAGTTTCTTGTACAACACATCCTGTTTGGTTGTAACCTGCAATGAGTGACATGTTAGTTCCACGTTGGTTTTTCTTTGCCACGTTCACTGTTACTAATAATGCATATTATCTAATCTTGGTTCCACAACCGTCTCAAGCAGCGTCAGCACTTTAGAATCCCCAATGGTCGAAATTTTCTAATATTAATACTACATGATCCCCTAAGAATTGTGGTCACATGCATGTAAATATTACTTGCAATGAGTGTCATCCCATTGTATTAGGATTCACAACGTTACCTGTTAAATCAACTAAACAAATGAAGGAAGAGAGGGAGAGAGAAAGTATTAAGGCCAATAAATCACAGGTCTATTACAGAGTTATCTGATAAAGATTGGTAGACTGTTGAGCTTTGTACTTACTCCTTCGAATGTTTTGACATTACAAAAATAAAAAGTTTGATCTAAAGGGTATTTTCCGCAAAAAGGCTCAGCAGAATGCACTTTTTTATTGAGCAGGAATTAGCAGTAGAATACCGCTCTGTCATTTGAAAAGACAGAGTCACTTCAGTTCAAAATACTTAGCTATATATTTACAAAAAGTGAGCTACATTTGTTTATGTATTTTTTCGTATTCATTGTAACTTATACTTCCTAAACCTTTTTAACTTCTTTGTTATCTTATTAGCATCATGATTCAATTTTATTTGTTGCCATTATTGTGTTCGTGTTCTTTTTGTAAATATTTAGATGTCCTTCCAGATGATGAAGTAGGCCAAATGATTATCGACGTCTTTGGTTGGCGTAATCATGCTATGCAACGTTATCGTCGTATTATGTATTGGATGCCTAAATTATATCACAGTAATCCCTGGGCTGTACAATTTCGGATTATCGATGATCTTGATCAAAATCCAATCAAGCTGGGTTATTTAATTGCTGAAAGGATTTGTCCCGATCGTATGACGGAATTCACTGTTGTGCGGGTTAGTCAACTGATATAAGGTTTGATAGAGCTCCACTAAAGCATAATTGAATGCTGAAAAATAGGCAGTCTTTTAAGGAGTGTGATGATTACTAGATCAAGTATAGAAAAGAGTGATTTACTAAGAAGAAAACTGATGCAAAGTACTTCAGTGTTCAGTGATTAGATGGGGCGATATGGAGAAAACTTGAGCACAGCTATATTCATTTTTGAGTGACTCTACCTAAGCTTTCCGAGCAGAATTGAGATAATTTTTTCATCTGGCCAACTTGGCATTTCTCCCAGCTTAATTTCACTCTTGTCATCAATTTGTAAATCATTAATGTATTCAGAATCATCTGATTTATAAAACTAACCAGCAGGATTGATTTTTTTCCTCAGCGAGTGACTTAACCAACTAGTCCCTTTAATCAATTTGGTTAGTGTTATTAGAAACCAGTGTGAATCTTAAAAATCGTGATTTAAGAACCTTGTAATACCAATAGTGAAAGATTACTCAGGTAGGCTAAGGGTAGCAATAAATTGTTTTCGTACGTTTTCCAACTTTTATAAGGATACGAAATTTATATTTGTGGAAACCACCAAATAAATATCTAATATTGACAGCAATACTCATCCTGAGGAAGTACGGTGTCATTAACGAGTCTGTCTTAGAAACAGTTATAAAGGCTGTTGATAACCCGCAACCAATGGTTAGTAAATGCTGTTATATTTTCACAGCTTCATCGAACTGCTTGACAGAAAGAGACGGATGCTGGTGGGATCCGAACATGATGATGAGAAGCTAAGGCTGCTCAAAAGTAAGCTGTTAGTCTTCTCAACGACCGTGAACTTTAGTGGTTGAGGTTTAAGTAGGAAATGGAAAAGTCTTCATCAATAGGTAGTGCTTCCTAGAACAGACCGCTGAAACATTTTGCAGGACATTTGAAGATGTTTAACGAGCTTACTGGTACATTACAATTACACACCTACTGATCACTCCCAATGTAAATGGGATGTAGAAGTCATCAATCCTCCAGCCGCAGCTGAGGTTAAATAAGTTGTCTTTGATATAAACTGAAGGAAAGCAACATGACTTTAAAATGTGACTCCAGAGGCGTTCTAAGATGATAGTGATGAGATTTCTAGCTAGATTTACTAGGTTATTTACAATAGTTTCAACGTATTACTGTAAACCCTTGATTACTCTAAGTTGTATGAAAGTATTCTAGATTAGTAATCACGGGAGGATCAGGTTCAGTGACCTTTCCTAAAAGTTTAAGTTAAATAGTCCTGCAAAGACTAGGAGAAACAGAATTCGATGAAAGCAGTCGGGCTTCAAAGCCAGAAGAAGACGTATCGATCAAGTCTTCAAGCTTCACCTTGTTGAAGGAAATAGACATATTTACCGGTGTCCAACACTTGTTGTATTTCTCAACTTGAAAGTGGTATTTGATTTCCTCGATGAAGGGATACTGTGGCGATATTTGCTTGTCGAAGGAGCTCCGGAAAAGTATAATGTACTGAACAAGGAACTGTACGCTAACTCATGCAGCCGTGGAAGAGAATATGGAGAGTTGCCACCTGAAAAGAACACAAACAATGGTGTTTTAGCGGATGTGCACTGCCGTCATTTTCTAAATTTTCATAAAAGATGTACTGATGCAGGTGACGCTGATGGATTTCGATATTTCAGAGTATAATCGGCTCCCATGGAAGTCTTGTTGATCTGGGTTGTACAAACAATATTGTCCTGTTGAGTGTAGGTGCTGAAGTAATATAGCCTTTTGAACACCTTAAGTTAACACCTTAATATATCTGGTGTGCAGTTCACCCCTAAGGAATCTAAAAGGATGCCACACCTCTGGTCTGCACCGCGTATCGGTTTAAGAACGAGGAGTACAATGGTTACGTGTACCGGCCATTTCACTTATTTTGGGAGTTGCATCAATTTCAATGGACTGATTATTGATGAAATGTCAGCACGGGTGGAAAAGACTGGTTTGGAATTTACCAACTAGCGTCATCTTTGATGTAGACGTGATATTTGGCTACCGATCAAAGGACGCGTGTACTTCACAACAGTCCTCTGAATCCTCCTCTGCGGCTGTTAGACATGGTGGTTAGTGATGGAAGCTATAAAGGGGCTTGCTAACTTTGAGAATAGTTGTCTGCTTTCTATCTCTCCTATTTTGTGTGCAGTACGATCATTTATAATCTGTGTTAGCTGAGACAGAAAAAGGGGCAAAGTTTTAGGGATGACCAAACTAGAATATTGTAACAATCCATAACTGTTGGTTAAAGTCACATAAGGATGTGCAGGTTTCTCGGCTAAGAACCATCGGTTAAAGGCCGCTCATAGTACGGCTGAAAGTCGTTCTCAATAGCGCAGATTGTAAAGATCATCAGTAATCTTCGTCCATCATAGTTTGATTATACTCTTGTTCGCTCTTCCGAAGTGTGGTAAGTTGATCTACTGTACTTTTGCGCAATTCAGTTCAGTATACATCTCTAGATTAAACTTACCTCAAATTCTTGACTGTTTCAACGCTTCGTGTGCTTCAATCAATATGTTGTGTTAGGCAGTATAACTTTACTGGCTTATTTGATCTTAGTAAATAGAGCATCTTAGTAAACCACCAGATCATAGCGTCACCACTGTCATGCTTTCTTCTACTACTATCTTGGTGGCTGTATGTAAGTATGTGTTAACTAGAGGCTTTCAGTTACCAAACAATTGGATGACTGACAGAACTAATAAAATAATTGTAACAGTATAACGTTTATCCATCACAGCTGTTCATCCTACATTTTTTGCATTCACTAGATGCCTGCAGCGTCTTCGTCGTACTCATCTACACCTACCACAGAAGAACCAGATTCAATTATCAGTGCACAGAGTCCCGAGCAACGCGCACTACTAGCGTACTGCACTAAACAGAAAAGTAATGATTGTAAACCAACTATTTATTTAGATGGGCCTCATTATGTGTGGTATCGAAATTTACAGGTTGGTGTAGTTACCATACTTTTATTTTCGTGTGTTTTATATGCCGTTTTGTATATCTTTTTTTTTAACATTCTAATCTGCACGGGAAAATAAAACAAACATAAGTAACTAGGTCAAATTTTTGTATGCTAGTTTGACGCAATCATGCATGGTGAAAGTAATGTGTATTTTTCAGATGGATGAAAATTAAATGTACTCATTCCATCGGGACAGCGGTCAGTAATTTTATGTGTTTTTACTGCACTTAATATGGTTATTTTCAAGAAATCAGCAGCCTAACCTTCCTCAGAAATGGATGGTCTAAAAGTAACTTCCAAATTTCGCATTCCGTATAACCACACAGATTTATTTTAACTACATAAACTCTGCATTTTTCTAAGTGATTCATCAATTTTTAGAGGTCTCTATGTGCATCGGTGTCACAGCAGTAGAATGCTCACCAACCACGCATGTGGTTCGGGGTTCGATCCCCGGCCGATGCACTCATCTCGCTAAGCCAGTGACAAGACTGGTAAACAGGGAAGGTTGAGCGTGGGGGTAGCAAGCCCATTCCGTAAAAATAAACACCACGACTACCGAAACTTCAAAGCTCTAGTTTGAAGCACTATGTTCCACTGGGAGAATGTAAAGGAACAGAATTAAAAAATAATCTATGATAGAATACCTACGTACTTATTAAACCTTCAGCTTTCAATTGTTGTCTCTGACTGTAGCAAGTTTAGTTTGATGGCATAATGATTCACAATCTTCAATTTTCGCGTATTTCGACTCAAAAATCACGTTAACTCACTTATTTTCGAGATGAATATCATTCGCCTTGATACATCAAAATCTGACTGCCATCTATGCGTTTCAAAACGTGCTGCAGTACAAGCAATGAAAAGTCTTATTGTGAATAGTTTAAGTAGTGATAGAAAATAGTAGAATTAAGGATGAAAGTCGGAGCAGTATTTTCATACACTAAGCTTGAAAAACATTCATTACTTTCTCATTGTATCTGGATGGTAGAAGGAACAGTATGAAAAATGATCATAACTGATGTAGATAAGGTTTCAGTCTCACAGGGCAATTGTTCATACTGCATAACTGTTGTTCTTCATTCTGTCTATTGTGTCTCACCCACTCTTTTAAGTAGTATCAAATCTGGTGAACAGTAAACAACATGTAGGCCTGAGGTTAACATGCAAACTGTGTGCCCAAGCCGCTTAAGCCAATGATCTGTGATGACGTCAATAAATAGATGATGATCTTTCTTGGGCCCGTATGTGTCTCACACAACTTATGATATTGTTGCACCAAAAAGTACAGTGGTAATCGAACATAGTGTTGTTGGAGAATATGTTTCTTTGAGACAGATTAAAACTTTTTGCCCGTTTGAATTACATCATAATTTCGCCATAGCACTTACACTGAAATGAACATTTAGTTGTATTGGAAGATAGTGTATAATTAAGTGTAATGAAAACAATTTTAAATCACCGATTAAGTAATGATATTCAACAATCCAGAATAATGTACTACTAATTTATTAATGTCACTAGTTAGGTACCACTCATATCGGCCGGTAGTGCTTGCCTCACCAGTTCGAAGTGATCTAAACATCGTTTTTGGGCCGAGCTCATCAGTGGCCTAGAGAGTCGAATCACTTCATACCACCCGAATTCTCGTTACCCACTTCAGCGAACTGGTAATACATTGCAAATTAGTTCGCGGTTAGGAGTTGACACACTTCGAGGTGAATTGGCTGATATGAATGTTATACAACTATTTATACCAATCAAGTGGTAGTATGTAAATCATGCAGTTTTACTTGCTTTCTTGATTGTAATGTTTGCTATTAAGCAGGTCGCATATTGTGGTCTGAATGATGTCGATTTTCAAAGGAAACTCTGGTGAAATTTCGCTTCGAACTGTGTGAATTGTAAACCATGAATCAATTACTAGTTTGATTCCATTCAGATCTTCATGAAGACATTAAAAATGCGTTCAAACTATTTATAGTCATACAGTGTGCCTAATAAGTTCTGGAACACTCTTAGATGAATATTGTACACCTGCTTTTATTTCAAATCTGGGTTTATCACCTAATAAATTGCTAATGATCTCACCGTATTATCGTAAAGCAATGTCGGATATGGACATCATCTTCAACCGTATAAGATAAATCAGGAATCATGCACGGAAGATCAAATTTAAAGTCTTACTCCCTGCTTCACATCCTTATTGAATATCCAGTCAAATCTGGTGAAGGCAGTACGTCCATTTTTTCTGCGTCATTAGCTGTTAGTAACTGATCATGAAAGTTTGTCACTTTTGATGTAGTTGTTGTCTCTAAGCTGGATGGTTTACTTACGAAGCTTTCATTGCCGTACTACTAGGCGATATCTTCAGCGCATACTTCAATTTGAAGTGAACTTTGAAATTCCTCCACATGAATGAGGGTAGCCAATCACGTTCAAGGTCACCAAGAGAGATGACTAATAAACTCGTGGAGAAATTTCATAGCTCACTTCAAATTGAAGTATGCACTGAAGATGTTGTCTGGTAGAACAATGAAAGCTTCGCAAGTAAACCATCCAGCTCAGAGAACACAACTACATCAAAATCACCAACCTGAGCTACAAATCTTCTCCATTATATTTAAGTTGATCACGAAGAGTAATTGTTATCACATGAATTCAGTGTTCTGTTATAAATTCTTTTCATTCGACTCTTAAAGGACTATTCATTTCAATTTTCATTTATGACAGTAATTGACTTATTCAGTATTACACGATCACTCCCGTCATTGTTATTATATATTAATAACAATTCTGGTAATGCATGTATGATGGTAACTTTTATGACTGCCTTTTTCTTCTTCCCCTATTTTCCAACCGTAGATAACTGACTAACTCTCATAAACGCAGTATACTTTAATTTGAAAAATAAAACAAAACCGATAACAAGAATTTCTTTTATAGTGTACTATTATTGATGGTTATAATCATGAAAATTAAATACACAATTAATATTTTGTTTCTATACGTTAATACATACGATTGACATGAATTACACAAATCACCTTTACAACACCGTATATCGAATGCTGATTCACATTGAGAATATGGCTTGTGATTACACTGCCGATTTGGACTTTCTTCTTCAGTATATATAGTCTGTAAACGTAAACGAATTTCATTTTATTAGAGCAGATCGGAAAGTATACACCTGTGATGTTATGTCTATGTTGGTGGCTAGTAACTGAATTTGTAAATCACATGTTTTCCTAATCAGGACTTGTCAGCCTGATATATCTTAATTTCAATAATTTATGATATTCTGCTTAAACTTGGATCCATCCATCACTTGTGATTTTCACCTCTTACTACCAGCGAACAAGTAACATCAAACTGAAACTCTAGATATTACCAAGACATGCATACATTCAAGAAATGGGATCCGTCAATAAAAACCGGTCACTTTGGTCCATGTAAATCAACAACAGGGAATCACAGGTAGAAATAAATAACATGCTTGTGAAATTTCTAAAATATGGACTAGTGTATAGGAAAACCTTCTCATTAAAAACAAACAGCCATCATAAATGTCTCCGTTGTAATTATTAGTGTTGATTGAATTCTGTCTACATTTAGGTGTACAATGCAGTCCATAGTTGCTGCCTTGATATTCTTGGGTTTGCTGACTGTAATGACTCAACGAACTATTTTATTTGGAATGAACATTCTTACAGGTCGTATCATACCGAAAAAGTTGGGTGGATAGTGGTTAGACTGAAGGCAGTCACCATCGTGGTGTGAGTTTCTTTCACTATGTTAGGGGTCTGAAAGGGAAGTTTTGTACTGACCCAAATGTGTGTTTCCTTCGAACCACCAGCAACTTAGTTATGCTGCATACTGGAGTTAGAGAAGGTCGACTCCAAAATTGAATATCTCAAATTACACTTGGCTAGTTCATAGCTGACAAAGTTTTATTTAGGTATGCGAGTTTTCAGACTCAAACAGTTATATCACGCGAAACCTACCAATTTTCTGTTTTAAGCATTCCAAGAAGAAGCAAACATACCCACTTTAGGCAGCTTGGAAGTAGGAAAAGCCACATGTATCCATAAGTACTCAGTGCCCTTCTGTTCATCACTAATTTTTTTCATCCTCTTCCATATGTTTTCTCTAAACCTAACCACCTTTTTCCTTATAGTTTCGTCATACTGTCTCTCTGTACCCTTTATATAGTTTACTTCTTTGAATTGTGGCATGTCAAACTGCTACCACTCAGTAGAAAGCCTTAGTACCACCTGATTGGGAACTGTCATTTTTCGTCATATCACTGTACTCTCATTGGTTGTCATCGAATGAATTCTGTCTTTAAACCAAAGAAAATAAAACTCCAGTTTCCTCAGGTATTACCTCTGGAGTACTCAAGATACCTTTAAACTCGTTGACTAGTTGGAAGAATCTGACAGAAGTTTCGTTCATCGTGGGATCAGATTTAAAAATAAATATCAATACTCATAAATTTGTTTGTTTGAATTTTTCAGTGGTCTACTAAGTTGAAGTAATAATGAGACTCAAAATGAAAATGCACAATATCAGTTGCTTTGAATTAAGTGAGTCTTCACAATCTTCATATTCGTATGACTAACAGTTGAATAGTGGATTCAATAACTGTGGACACTACTAATTGTCTTTAAATTTCTTTCATGTGATGGAAATCCCAAGTTAATCTCAGTTGATTCATTCTTAAGTAATTGTTACTAAACCTTTAGTATGTTATTATCTAGTTATAATTAGCATGTGTTTTACCCTTTTCAATATCGTCATTTCTTGAAACCCGTCTAGAAAACGTAATTATTGTAAGTTCGAACACGGATTTATATCAGTTAGAGAACCATCGAAAACCAGGGAGTACCACAAACCTACCATCCTAGTATGGGACTCTTCATCAGTACTCACCTATAACCACACGAGAGAACAAAACTGGTCTCGTAACCTGAAGGTCCCGGGTCCGATCCCAGGTGAAACATAGGTGCGTATTGTAGAGAAATCCCAAACTAAGAAGAAACAGGTGTCCATTGCAACAGAAGAAGATAAGAGACTTGGTAACGGACCGTTAATAAGGAAGACCCATCATACTTATACATTCTTAGCCACGTTAAAGTTCTGCTAGGTCCATGACAACAAAATGTTCTGACTGGTTGGCGATTGGTCCAAGGTTAGACAGGTTGTCCAGTGAGTTTACTTCATGTCCATGACGTAAGCTAAATCCAGATTTGAGGGTTAAGCACTCGTAACTTTGCGGTCACTGACTTGAAATGTTGATTTCAGTTTTGGCCGCATCATTTCAATATGCATCACACCACATCAGTAGTTCCTAGTAGTTTTCAATGGTTTTCTAACTTATTCCAATGCGTGATGAGACTTGAAACCATCCCAGTCCTTAAAGATTAACGCTTGAACATGTATGTACTGTGAAAGGATTGAAACTAAGATTCACGTTTTTCGCTGTTTACCATGTGATGAAAAGCTTTACATAGATACATGAATCTGTGTAGTCTCACAGTCACATTGTGTGATTCTGATGGTCATCTTGTATCTAGTCTTATCATTGAAATTCAATGGTCCAATGTTATAAACGTGAATTAACACTAATAACCACTACATTAACACCAATAAATCATAATTTAATCAATTGGCTCTTTTGATTGTAGCATAGTTCTCTGTGGTGGTGGTGGTGGTGATGGTCAGCGGTTCGGCGGTAGAGTGCTGGCCAACCATGCATGTGATCCGGGGTTCGAGTCCCGACTGGCGCACACCTTTACCTCCCCTAGCGGGTTATAATCCCAACAAAGAGGGAAGGTTAGGCGTGAGGCTAGCAACCCCACCCCGTTAAGAACACCACTGCTACTGAAACTTCAAAGAAATAAAAAAATAATCTCTGTGTTCGGCTGTTAAACTTGCAGGTGTCAAAAAGTAATTGTTACCAAAATTTACGACTTGAAGGCATAAGGTGTATATGCTTTGTTATTGTTATTATCTTGCTGAAAATAACTTACTACACACTCGTGACAACCGACCACAATAAAATGCTCTGTGTCTCCACTGTTTAGGTCACAGCCATCGCATTGATAACATGAATATGTTTGTGGTTCAAATTTTAACTGCTTTAAGTCGCTGCTTTGGTCTCCGCCAGCACTGTAGGTATCGTAGAAGGACAGACCGTGTTTCTCATCAATCGGTTTTGTTTTGTTAAGTGGTTTCGCTAGTTTAATCCATTTATGCTTGATTTTTTCATCTTTTAAGGTACCTGTGGAACAATTTATTCCTGAGAGGAAAAATCTGTATAGTAGTAGTAATACTAATGTTGATTTCATCATGTTTGTCTTTGTATATGCAAATAAGTGTAATCATTGAGAATACGGAGCACTATAAAATGAAAATAGATTCATTCTTTTATCAACCATAGCTGCATATTACTGTAGCATGTTTCATCTGAACCAATTGAAATCGATTTTGAAGAACACGTGATTCATTCAATACATTTTCAATCCATTTACTGAATTCATAGTTAAATGTTTTGTGATTCTTAGCGGTTTATATTTCAGAGGTATATTAGCCATCGTATACAGTGTAATTCTGATGGGTTTTCACTATGGATAATAGTTCTATGCTTATCTTCATTTTACCGAACTACAATAAAGTGTATGTAGTGTATGTAGGTTTTTCATGCTAGTTACTATTGTTGTCGGTTAAAATAGATTTTTAATCATATGTCATATAGTTGGCTAATACTCAAAAGTCTCAGATTCACGCTTTCTAAAATAAGAATAATCGTGTAACAGTATAGTGTCCTTGATATTAATCAATAAGAATTCATGATTTCATCTGCTTTAATGGTGTTGTCACTGTGTATTATAACTAGTCACGGTAATTCGCTTTTGGCTTTTATACTTGAAAGAATTTTACTTTGTGAAGAAGTGGGTTACTTAATAAAACAACAACATAGCAAGTGATCTCCCTTTCCTTTTGTTATTACACAAGGCCGCTTATTATACATTATGGACAGAGATCAGTGCTGATCGTTTGAAAAGAGAAGCCGATGCCGTCAAAATCAATCAAGTGTCGAAGTTTAGCGCAACAGGTAAATCTGCATAGTTTTACTACATATGCGTATTCTAAGTTTTCATATTGTGCTATCTCTGTTTGAATTTAGCGTAATCTTAGTCTTCACCATAGTTGTCTGTTTAGTGGCTTTTATTGTATGCTGAGAAACCAGAAGAGTGATGTCTTATTGTTGGTATACGTTGGACTGGCAATGAGACTCTAGAAGACCTGGATCTTGCGAGAGATTTATGTTTAGTGTCACACAAACTCGAATATCTACAGGTGAAAAACAACAAATTGACAGAAGAAATAGTAAAGACAGAACTTCATAGAGAAGGAAGAGGTGATGAAGATAGCTGAGTACCAACAGCGACAAGCACCAATCACTATCAATGGGATAAATGTGGAGGAAGTCACCTGTTTCACTTAACTAGTCAGTTTAGTGGCGACACAAATGAGGCTGTTAAAATTTGGATCATTACTATGAAGTCAGTCTGCGCTCAATATAAGGAACAATATTCGACTTTTCAGCACTAATCTCAAGTCATTTCTCCTCTATGGTTCAGGAACATGGCGCGTCAACAGGCCTCAAACCTCCATCAACGTCTGCTCTCCCCCAATATTCATAATCAGATGTCCAAAAAGGGTAAGCGACAAGGAAATGTGACAACGAATCAACCAAGACCCTTATGACCAACAAAAGAAGAGGAGATGGGTTGGATATATGCAAAGGAGGCCATTGAATGACTTCACGCACCAGCCAGGCCGTCTGCTGGAACCCGAATAGGAAATGATGGGTGTGACGCAGAGGAGGTGGGCAATCGTGCACCCAGCTAAAAATGACTGCAGATAACAAGTGGAAGTGGGGTTGTGTCCTTGAATCTGTGTTTGACTCGGCACCTGAGGAATAATTGTAAAGCTAAGCAAAGCACTTCATTCAATTGAAGTGTAGTTCCTCCTCATTTCAAGTATCTGGAAGATGTGTCGCCCTTGTCTACTCATCACTTCCAATCGAAATAAATCTTTGCAAAGCTTGCCAGAGCGGTATAAGACACAAGTGTTTGACTGTTGTTATCAATTTTGTGTACAGGTTCTTAATGTAACAGTTTGAGAGTCAATGTTAACATGGTCTTAACATGGTGCACGCATTGTGAATTCATTACGTCCTGGATACTTAGAACAGCTTGATGGATTTATATTCAAATGGTTTCTCTCCTCATACTACTCTTTGGTTATTTTATTATCATTATTTTTTGTTTCGTTATTGTTATAACTCTTGACAATATAAGTTGATATACGCGTGTATTAGTTTGGTCTTTATAAACATGAGTCAGTGAAGCAGTGCTACTTACTGAACGACTTTTCGAAACAAACTTATTGTTCATAATCACTTCAAATGTAATTCCAAAACTTTGAATTTCTGGTTTTACTAATCCTAATTTGTTATTAATTTGTCGTAGTGACTATAGAATTCTCCAGAAATAAATTACATCTGGTGAGTCATTACTGTCACAGAAATTGTCAGTTTGATTGGCAAACAAAACTTCTGTTATTAACCTTTCGTTCCACCCTGAACCAAGTTTCAAAGTTATAGACTTATATCTGATGTGATTATTTACAACAAGTTGGGTTCAAAGGGTCATGTGTTGAATGACATTCCTTCACTGCTTGATGCATTTAAGAAACGAACTTGTGTGAATTTACGCACAACCGCAGTGCCCAAGTTTTTCACATGAATTAAGGTGATCTGTTTCTGTGACAGTTTCTTTTAACAAACGCAGACATTGTAGTAGAGGCGTTAATGCTTGGGCACTTTTCAGATTTACTGCATCATCTATTATTTTCAATCCCAAAAGCTTACTTTATGTGTTCGTCTTTGTTTCTCTTCCTAAGAATTGAACTTGCTTCATACCGATATCTCTATTAAGGTGATATAGTTGTATTTAGGTGTTAGTTAGGAAATTAAAGCATACCTAGGTCCAAGGCTTCCTGCCGATTGTCTCCAACTATCTAATATCATCAAATCAATGTGCACCGTGATGGCGAGCTACCTAGAATGGTGGTGGTAGAATTCCGTCTGCACCAAAGAAAGGACTAGACACGTCACACTAGTTACTAGTGTTCAACGAAAATACCCACTACAGTCCCATAGGAGGTCAATCGCGAGCCCGAATAGCTCAGTGGTAATGCCTCTCACTGCAGCACTGGGTGACACAGATTCGAATCTCAGAAGGGACATGAGTCCTTCCAAGGTTGCAGATAACCCTTGCTGACGAGTGCCAACTAACACGAAACTTAGGTCCAACGCTTCCTGCCGATTTCCTCCGACTATCTAATATCTTTATAGCATACTGTTTTGTTAGTTCGACTGTCACATTTTTCCAATGCGTGGCAGAATCATAGAGGTATATTGATATGAGCAAAAGCTTTATATGAAACGTTAAGTTGTTTAGAATGTACGCAAAACGAAAAGTCAAAAGCATTTTAAGTACTAGATGGTTGCAGGCAATCAGAAGTAAGCCTTGAACCTTTGTTTCGTGTTAGTTGGCACTCGTCAGCAAGGCGTACCTGCAACTTTGGACGGACTCATTTCCCTTCTGAGATTCGAATCTGTGTCACCCAGTGCTGCAGTCAAAGGCATTACCACTGAGCTATTCGGGATCGTGATTGACCTCCTGTAAGTCTGCTTTGGATACTTTGATTGGACTTACTAGTATCGAATGAGAGTATTGTAAGTAAATAGTTGACTAACTGCATTTAGATGAATCCTATCTAACAGTCAAGACAGTGGAAAGTGTACGTGTAAGTGGTTACACAAGTTAAAAATTGTTACACTTGACGCATAGGTTGTGAAAAAAGCTCTGCTGAAATCACTTAATAATTTTCATCCTTCGAGCTTGTTGATATTTGAATAAAAAAAGGATTCTAAAATCTTATTCAGTACTATGCTACTTAAGAATATATTTAGTAGATGAGGTCTATATAAAGGAGGAAGCTAATAAACTAGTATAGCTGTTTCCTAATATGAGCCAAAACATGAACACAAAGTCTTGTACAGAAATGCATCAGCTAAACTTAACTCAGTTTCAGCAGTACATGAAAAGCTTTTTTTGTTGTTGATATTTTTGCCATGAAGCGAGTGTACTGGTCATATCTTCACTCTTCGACAGATTCTGGAACATATACACTATTGCTGGTGTTTAACACTTACCACATTTCTGGACCTGCAGGCGACAGTTCACTCCACCCACCAAGAGGTGTTGGGGTAGTGTTTGTCCGTAAAAGGAGTTCCTAGAAAGTATATCGCACTAATCAAGGCATTAGCTCTACTTAAACTCACACAGTCGTGTATGAGTTTACGGAAAGTTGTCATCTGAAGTGATGACAACCATTGGTCATCTTCAGCGATGCCACTGTCCCCAATTTTGTTTAGTTTCATGATGGATATACTAATGGAATTGACTCTAACTGACTTTAGCAACTTCCGGATTGACTTGTTACCACGGTGTATTCTCGTCTAATCAGGGTGTGTGGATGATATTTTCCTCGTAGTTGATGGTGATAAGATGGTCTTGTGAATACCTTGAGGGCTGACAGTAAACGACGTGTTGGTAAATCATTCAAAAGATGTAGTATTATGAGTGAACTAGTATTGGGACACATTTATTCTAATGTATTTGAATAGTCTAGCAAGATGTTGGTTAGTTTCAGTTCACCTTGATGAGAAATCTAGGAATGATTAGCATTCGTTTCACTGCTGTCCGATGTAAGATGATGACGTTGAAGTGAACTTACACAGACATATAGTTAAAGCTAGTGAAGTGGTGTAATATGTTGATCATTTGAGTTATTTAGGAAATTGCATCCGCCCTCATTTCGGATGTCACAGGCTGGTGTGAGATTTGTCAACTTAGGTCATCTCTGGCTTAGACGTGATATTCGGCTGTCGATCGAAGGATGTGTGTACTGCACATTAGTTCACTCTGTATGCATAATAACAGCAATAACAAATATTGTAGTGTTTTAAGCCATATAGACAATAGAAAATTGCAGACATTTTAACGACTGTTGTCAATCTCACTATGGGAGAATGGAGATTGCTAGACACGGAAAAAAGCATCAGATGTCTAATTAAAGTCTAAACAAGTATATATTATATTTATATAGAAATAAAGAGGTCAGAAAACTAAGGAAAATTATTAAACAGTAATATAAGCTTGGTTGTCGCCTGTTGTTTCCGTGATGGATAGGGGTTACATACAATTCTTATTGCTGTTACTTCACGTAGACTCCGTTTGTAATTCCTATGTACTGTACAACCATGATGAATCAAGTTGATACTTAACTTAATCACTCTCTGTAAATTATGGCAAGTCACGATAATGTGATAATAGTAGTAGCGGTAATATTTCTAGTCCTAGTAATTTTAAAGTTTTTAAAAAATCATGATTAACTGCTGTTTTGTTCAAATGTCATTTCAAATGTTTTCATTTTCAGAGCCTTGGAATCTTAAATTTCTTAAATATTCAAAAAGCAATCATAATATAGTGTTGAATGATACAGACACAAATGGCACCAGTCAGTCACTTCTACCTCACATAAGTCTCTTACCGATTGCGAATCCAGTTGGCACTGAAGTACGTGTTTCTAATAGTGATGTCAGCACAAAGTATATAGCTATGTCTGAGCCAGAATATGACAATCGTTGGCTAACCATTCGCCAGAGTCATACGTATAAATATTTACCCGGCAATCTATGTCAACATGAACAAGGTGAAGGTACAATTCTTGCTGTTGGTATAGTTGTCCCAACGCCAGATGCTTTAGATAATCAAAAGAAGTTATACGATTGGGAGGTTTCCAATAAAATTGATCATATAGAGTCTAAAGATTCCATTAATCGACAAAGGCATCATGAGAGATCTGCTTTACCACCAGTTCCAAAACCCGCACCGTCTGCATTATTACGTCTTTGGCTAAATGAATTGCATTCAAAGAATCCTTGTTTCGATGAAGCTACATTAGTGATACGAGTCCCAACGATTATTGACAAGCAAAGTAACTTTAATGTGGATGATGATATCAGCAATCACGATGATGTACATTCTGTAGATAAAGAAAATGATTCGATGATGCATAAGTCCTATAACTAATTAAATTAATTCACTTTTATTTGTATTCAGAAATTGTACATATTTTCTTATAAATTCTCATTTTTTTTCCCCTCTGGAGTGTTTTTTATACCAAAATGCAATGTAATATTCGCTTTCCGGACTTCAGTTGTCCAAATTAGTAAGGTATTTTCAATGTAAATGTCAAGCGATAAGGTAGATAGTAATAATTATAATCTTATTAATCATATGCTGATTAATTATAGGTTTCAAAATTATATTTAACATCACAAAAACCCTTCAGCTAAGTAGTGAAACATGTTTCTTGTCATCAATAGTTGAAAAGAAAAGTTTCATATCTCGACCCCAAGAACATTTAACAACAAAGTGTACAAATTAGCTGTCATTTCCTATAAACACAAGACGCGTCAAACTACTGAACCTTAGCAGAATGTCTAACTTCTTTCAAAACAGCTTAAACTAATAAAGATTGATTGCATTCTGAAGACGTGTAAATTTCGACGTTGTCAGAATTTGACTGCTCAGAGGTTTTATGGAATTCTCATCCGTATCTTCTCGAGTTATGTAGAAAATGTTCTATTTAAGCGAAGAATATTATGGATGATAATCATATCCCTTCGAATACCTCTGTAGTACACAAGCTGAGAAATCTGGGCAATATTTGTAAGATACCAGGCTACGTAATAAGGAAAGAAAGTGTATGCTATAAACTCTTGATTTTAAGTTTATGCAGCATCACCGCATCACCATTGAAAAGAGAAAAAACCACCAGTCTGTAGTCGTAGATGCCTTTCAGTAATTATTCCTAAGTTTTGTTTGTTAGTAGCATGCACACCATTCATTATAAAAAAACCACCTGCTCAAACTCTTGAAAATGAATGTTTACGTTTTAAACCCTAACAAAGTATTTATCAAAATAACAATGAGCTAACATTACTTAAGATCGATATTTGGATTACCTTAGTGGTATGCATATCGAAAACAGCACGTGGAATGTCAAGGTATTATTTCTTCTATTAATGATTATAGTGTAGTGCATAAACTATCGAAACCACTTCAGAATTTAGTCTGTAGAATGAAAGATAAGTTGAATTTTCATCTAGTGGATCAACCTTTAAGAGTATTAACAATAATATGATGGCAATTCCTGTTTATTTAGAGCGTAAACAATCACTTTTGTACTATCTGACAAGTGGATCAATAATTGCGCACATTGACACCAACAGAAAAGAAGGCAATCTGTTCACGTTACAACTAGGTTAGGAACTTATCTGAACCCCAACCCCATTACAGATGAATATAATTCGGGAGATAAAGATATCTAAGTGATTACGTGACCTGTAGGTATGTGTCATTTCTCAATAGATTTTTGTCGTCTTTTCCTCTCTTATCAAAATTCCTGAAACAATGAATTATACACATATATTTGAAATTATTTCTGCACTTTCCTCGAGATGCAAAAGTAATGGAAGACGAATATATTATAAAGATGAGCTTGATAAGAAGTCGATTGTAACTGAAAAACAAATTAATTTCAGAGTACCGAATAATAGTTTTGTTCTCCTCTGAATCATTCATTAACTCCAGGCAATCTCTAGTGCCTGCTGTTTGTATTTAAGTACACAATAGGACTCACACTCAATAAATAAGCTGTCATGTTGAAACTAAACGACTAGACTAGTAACTTAGTAAAAATACTGGACGTACAAAATTGTGCGCTAAATATTTGATTATTTTTTCATAACTTCTTCATGAGACTGAAAATTAGACAGTGTAACTGGAATAGGCGAATGCCTTTAGAACGCAAATGACGTGTGTGCTTTAGGGTATAAAGAACTGAAGCGTATTTGCCTGTCGAAGGTGGAAAGTGTGAGAAGTCTGTGGGTTGTGGCCGTTAGCTATTTGTGCCAAATTTCTCATGTTACGTAGAATGATGTAGTAATGAAACGGTAGAAGACGAAAACTTAATAAAGGAATGTTAATTTGGACATTGGTATCTCTATCTAGCTAAATTATGTATACCTTATCTTCAACGCACCATTGGCACAAATACTGATAAATCTTATCAGTAGTACTCTCCACAGTAAGTAATATTAAAATTAGACACCTCACAGAGATGGGATATCTTTTAAATTTAAAGACTACGATAAACTGTTTTTAGACATTTCTAGTACGAGTCTTTGATGATAAAATGAACCTACAAATTATCGGTTTGAAATGTATAGAATGCCGTTGTTAAACAAGATAGGCAAAAAGATTTTGTTAGCGTGAAGTGAATTACTACCAAAAATAGTTGTTTAAGAAGCTAAATAATGAGATAGAGATTGGCACGACGCGTTAAGAGAATGGTCAGGCAGATCTACGGATGAAAGTTATTTTGAATCCTTTTCCTATTAATCAGCTGGTTCAACTTTCCCTTCATTTTGTTATCAGACCGAGAGATTACGATGTTTTTGACTAATCATTGTGCATCCCCAAAATAAATCGCAGTGCACATTGAGACACAGTGTTTGAAATGCTCAAAGGGATTTTAATCCGACTTTTTCGTTATGCAGTATTCTGATTAATATATTTGCGGAATGCATTTACTATGTCTCTGTGCTTTACAGTGTAGGGTGCTGAGTTGGTCAAATAGGACTACTGTCAGAAACCGATTGTGCAATGTTTTTATTTATTATTTGAGATAGTGACTTCTTCAAAGTATGAACAATTCCCACCTAATGCAATTAGTCAGCTGACTTAGGTCAAACATGCCTTGTAATTCCTCCTACCGTCGTCCTAAATCCCCTCAACGGTAAAACGCACGTGGTCGATCTAAATCCAAGCCACCTTCACTGAAAAACCCTGACTGTTGCTGGTATCACAACACCTATGGCCAGGAAGCGAAATGTTGCCATAAACCTTGTAATTTAGGCAATGTCTCAAAGTTGGTGGGAAACTATCCCGCAACGCGTCAGCGGCAACCGTCGCCGGTGGCACTAGCCGCCTACTTTACATCTATGATGTAATCAGCCACACTAGATATTTAGTCGACACAGGCGCCGAAGTCAGCGTCCTTCCTCCTACAACAGCAGATCGACAGAAGAAACCTCCCTTCAACTTACAGGCTGCAAATGGAAAACCAATTGCAACTTATGGTAGGAAATACATCTATCTGAACGTAGGTTTACGCAAACCTATTCAGTGGATTTTCCTTATTGCTGACGTCACAATGGCCATCATTGGCACGGACTTACTTAATCATCATGATTTACTCGTAGACGCCCGCCGAAAACGACTGATTGACAATACTCCTAGTCTGTCTATCAAAGGCATCACCTACATAGGCCCCAGCTTATCACTCGTTAGGATGAAAGCAATCCTTTATCCAACTGATTCTTGATAAATACTCGGAACTTAATTGCCCGTCTTACGATCTACCGTGCATAATCAGCAATGTTATGCACCATATCATAACCTCAGGACTGCCTATGACATCTAAAGCACGACGACTGGCTCCTGACAAACTACGACTGCCAGCTGAGTTTGTTTCTCCCTCGAGCTACCCACCAGCTGTAGATCACCCCTCATACGTCAGCAGGCTTACAAACGCAATGCGTTCAGTTAAACCTGCTCGCCTTCGACCACAGTCCATAGATGTCTTCATGCACCCCTGTTTAAAAACTTCTTCACGCGTATTTGTTCGACGTGACTCTGTGCGTCGCCCTCTAGAACCCCTGTATGACGGACCACATAAAGTAATTAAACGTACGGATAAATTCTTTGTCTTAGACAAATAAGGCCGCGAAGACACCGTCAGCACTGACCGTCTGAAACCGGCTTACTTGGAAGGTAATCCTATTAGCCTAGAGCTAAACGTAACCGATAATCCACAAGTAATTGAATATCCCTTAGTCCTCGAAGAACTCATTAGCACGGCGAAAGCCACCGAATCTTCTGTCGAGCCCTCTAAGAGAACGCGTTTTGGAAGTAACGTAAGATTCCCAGAATACTTTCACACCTATATCACATAACGGAGTGGCGCGATTCACCCAACTCACTCGTTTGTGGTATTAATTATTATTTCTTCTTTTCAGACACTAAACCGTACATTATATACGCACTAGAAAAATTAGGTGTATACTTTTTCCGATGTTATAAACTTTACAATATTTTACTGTATCGTAGATACACATCATTTTCTAATCGCTGATTTGGTTCATTTTCCTAGACAAGGTTCTTAGAATTCTTGTTTTCTTTTCCAGGTGCGTTGGGCACTGGAAAAGAAACGAAGGAAGCACGAGATCCAACGAACATCAAGGAAGCCATGTACAAACACCCTATTAGCATAGGTAGACAGACCAGTAGGCACTCCACCAAGTTTTTTTCACCCTTAAGGGAACCATCGAGTTTTTGTACTTCCGGCTAGTTCTGTCTTAGGGTCCTCATATGTCTCATACATGTACTACCCAAGTTAATAATGCTTTTCTCAAACATTTTCAGACTTATGGAGAAACATATGTGTGCTGTGAACGCAGATGGAATCTACTGACAGTAACGGAGGACTACTCATCTAAAATCTAATTTTGTTTCATAAACAATTCTTCAGTGAATCTGTATCCCTTCTGTTGTGTTCCAGTAATATTTGTAACACGTGCTAAGGTAAGAATTGAGGGTAAACTGTTAGGAGTAAATGCGGCGTCTAGGAAACTAATGTTTACGCGATTAGATGAACAGATAGCGACGTACCGTGTTCTGTGGCCTTCTGTTTTTAATTATTATGATAACCATAGTTGCTCTGAGTTATAAATATAACAATATAGGTACAGTCTTCCCTTACGGTACATCGCGACACGTAGAAATCACAAGCACACTATCTCAGGTATGTCTATTTTCACTTTGTGACTTTGAATCGCGAATAAGTTTTTGTGTTCTGCTAGGACGATAGATAAATCGAAACGCCTTATAATCACAATACCTCCTATGAGATTTGGACATTTACTCTGCTCTTACCTGGTATTTCAAAGGTAGCCTCTGTACCTCACAACTTACGCAGGGGCTCATATTCCGTTTTATCAGGTAGAATATACAAACGGATAGTGAGGAATAAATTTAATGAATTAACATGTAATCAATGACAATGCGGAAATCTTCTTTAGAACCCAACTCCATGAAATCCCCGAAAGTAGCAATCACCTGAAAAAGAAATTAAGCAACCAAACAATATAAGATGTAAACATTGTTACCATTATCAATACAAAATTTAAGCAATAGGAGATACTAGATAACGGGTTAAATTGTGTGTACTTACGTCATCCAATATTTTTCAAGCAGACCAAATGGACATT